CGGCAAAAAATAGCTCTTTAGCGACCAACTTTTTAGTCACCAATAGTGATTTACACTTTTTAAAATAACACGTTTGGCGACTAATCTTTTAGTCGCCAATAGTCCATGAATCGCCGACTAAACGGTTTAGTCACCCAAAATAAACACTTTTGGCGACTAAAATTTTCGTCGCCAAAGGTCCTTTCGTGAAAAAAAATTTCAATTTCTTTGCTTTTTCTGAGATTCGAACCGCCAACCTCTCCCACATTCGAACTGCTAACACCTTAGCAACACACCCCTCCACTATGCCACTTCAACATCACATGAATATATATGCAATATATATTATTTATATAGTATATTGATCGGTATTAATACAAAACTATATATATAAATATAATTATTTTTATTCAATATAATTTATGTAAAAAATAAATTATTTATTAAAAAAAATTTAGGCCACTTTTGGCGACTAAATCCATTATTTAGTCGCCAATTCTATTATTTTGGGCTACTAATTAATTTTTTGTCGCTAAAAAAATAAGTTCAAATTAAAAATAAGCAGTTTTGGCGACTAAATCTGTTTTTAGTCGCCAAAAACGTCCCCTTTTGGCTACTAAACTGAATTTTAGTCGCCAATTGACTGTTTTTAGCTACTAATTTTTTTTTTGTAGCCAAAAAGCTTCATTTTCAGTGACCAATCTGTTTTTAGTAGGCAAAACACCTATAATCGGTGAATAAAATGTTTTTTAGTCGCCAAAACCATCACTTTTGGCTACTAAACAACCTTTAGTCGCTAAAACCCCTACATTCGGCGACTAAACTGCCTTTTAGTCGCTAAAACCCCTGTATTCGGCGACTAAACTCTTTTAGTCGGCAAAAGTGTTCAATTTTGGCGACTAATTCCATTTTAGTCTCCAATTCTACTACTTTCAGCGACGAAAAATGAAGTTTTAGTCGCCAAAAACGTTTTTTCTTGTAGTGGTAATCACACTCATTGATATATGAAAGTAAAATAAACTAGGAATCTATAGATAAATTCTAAATACTCCACCATAACTTCATGAATTATTGTTTTATTTGAGTACGGGTGAGAAAAATTGTATAAAAAAAATAAGGATTATGAGGTTTATTTGAATGCCTTAGGCTCGGCATTGTTATGTTTGTTCTCATAAGTAGATGAGGGGTTGTGTATATATATATATATTGTTGCTTCGTTCTCAGGAGTAAACGAGTGCTTTGACTTATACGTGTACGTAGATGAGGTTTATTTGAATGCCTTAGGCTTGACATTGTTATGTTTGTTCTCATGAGTAGATGAGGGGTTGTGTATATATATTGTTGCTTTGTTCTCAGGAGTAAACGAGTGCTTTGATTTATACCCGTACGTATATGCTAACCGTCCGGGGAGTGTGGGTCAAACTCGGGATGATATTCCCATGCAAGTTTGGCTTCGGAGTGGTGTTAGGTATACGGGAGGCACATGGGGTATATGTGTAGGCCAGAAGCCAAGGGCCGAAGTAGTGGAGTTAAGGTATAAATAATTAAATATGAGCTTATTGGTATAATTTGAATTGTATTGATTTGTACATCTTGAAAAATAGTAAACGACCTTGATAAAATACGAAATTTGGACAGAGGCATGTATACGCAATTCTAGACAATTTTTGTATTTTAACTTTTTACTAAAAAAATCAATTAGAACTTGTAATCGGATGATCTTGGTTATAATAGTTTTTATTCATTTTAGTAATGCAGACTTTAGATGCTGTTTTAACCCACGAAACGAGCTCATTTTCATTGATTTTGCATAAAATAAAGTAAAAGATTATTCTGAACACTTTTTGTGTTTTGAATTTCCAAAACAAATCATCCTAGGGCAGTTTCTTTTCATTTTCAGCTTTAGGTTTTTTAGTCAAATTCCGTCTAAATTTTTCTATCAAGTTTTTCTCTCAACTTGTTTAGTTTATACTAAATCCTTCCCCTATAGCTTTTAGGAAATTTAATTATGTATAACTTTTGTTCTTTGAATTTTGGTCAATTCGAATGAGTTTAGCATGAAGCGGTGCATTTTTATACTTCTTCAGTAATTTACTTATGATTAAATTACACTAACTTTATTTTTTACAGGATGATGAAACTTGCTAATTTTTTTATGCAAGGCTGACCCACCATATTTATTTTTTATTTTTATTATACTCAATTTATATTTAGTTTTGTACGAGTAAGAAACTAAATGTCACCGTATCTCGGGAAGCTACCCCTTCATCTTGGTGGGAGTGGAACTACTTGTCTTGTCCCGTAACACGAATTAAATGTACTTTTGTTTCTGTTTGGTGGACACGTGGGTGTCAAATCTTGTACTCATACCAATATATTTCTATACTAACCCGTTTTGTCTCTTGGCATCTCGAGTGCGTTCTGTTTGAGCACGACCGAGCTTCCTTTGTAGGATTAGTTGGGACTACCGTGGTGACGATAAATAATTATGGTTGTAGGACATGTCTCTCAAATTTCTTTTGTTTTCATGAGTTTCGGGTTGATATTACTTTATTTATTTATTCATTTTTTTAATAAGCTTAGAGCATCCTCATCAAGCTCTTCAAAATATTTTTTTAGTTAATAAACTTTAAAAAATCAACTCCATCAAACTCGCTTGCAGATCGTCAAAATTTACAATGGCTACAGTAACTCGTTACAACAAGCAATGTACTGTTCATCGCTACTTGTTTGTTACTGGAAGTCCGCCCGGAAGTTCGGCCGGTCAACCGGCCAAAGGCAATTTTTTTTTTTTTTAAAGAATTGTTTGGCTGGTAACTTATCAATTTAATAGAAAAAGAAAGACTAACAAATACAATAAGAAAATAATATTTAATAAGAATAAGTTATAATAGATTGTTTGGTGTAGTAGGTACTAAGGTGACTAGCTAAAATACAAAAAATAGCTTTAATTTGACTAAAAATTTGAAGAGATTGGTGTGGATGCTCTTAGTATTTTGATAATTTGACATTGTGGGTTATTTTCTAACTTTACATTATTTAAGTTGTTTTGACTATTTGTTACTATTTAATGTTGGAGGTATTAGATAGTTATGAATTTATGATGGATGGTTTGGTTGGCATTTTAATATATATATATTTTTATCCTTTGTAATTTTTTTTGAGTATTAAAATTTACTTAAAACATATTGAGACGAAAACATTTAGATTTTGTTTCGCCCATAAGATTTAGAGGATTGAACATTGGTTGGGATTTAATCCTAATTTAATATTTAATTGTCCAAATTTTAGAGCGTAACACTAATTTTACATAATATGTTTCATATATATGACTACAAATTTATAACAAATTTCACATTTTTAACATTTTTCACATTAATTTTTATTTTGATGTTTAATTAGAGATTAAAAAATATATACGTATTAATTATAGCGGAGCGGAGTAATTTTGAAAGTAGATTATAAATTTTAGGGGCTTCCCTAATTTATGAATTTATACTCCATTAAATCATAATTAAGATTTTTTCGACCTTTAAGTCCCATTAAATTTTTAATAGTCGGAATTGCCTTTCAAACAACAATTGTTCATCATTTATGATTATCTATATATGAACATGATGATTTGATATTTTGATTTTCAAAACTTTAACACATTGAAAAAAACTAAAAAAAAAAAAATTTATGTGCCAAAAAAAAAAAAAAAACTAATCAGTGTATTTGGTTTCAGTTTTCTAAATTTAGTTTTCTAAAAATTGATTTTTTTGTTTTTCATATTTTTTTTAGTGAATATTTTTAAAATGTTAAGTAATTTTTTTACTTTTTTAGATGCATTTTATTTAAATATATCTAAATAGTAAAATATTTGTGAAAAAAATTTAATAAATACACAAAAATACAAAAAATATATTGAATTTTTATATTTTTTTGGTATTTTTGGTATTAAGTAAATTTTTTAAAGATTTTTTTTACAAATATTATAATTTTTAAGTGTATTTATGTTAGGTATGTTTAAAAATTAAAAAAGTTGCTTAAAATTTTAAAAAAATTCAGTGAAAATAAAAAAATAAGGAAACAAAGTGAATATTTTGAAAAGTAAATTTTGAAAATTGAAAACAAACATAGTGAATGTTTTTTCTTTTTTTTTTTGAAAAAATTGAAAAACTAAGTTTTTTTTGTGTGTGCAAAACTGAAAATTTTGCATTTATAAAGGAGCATGATTATGGAACATTGGTATGCAAAACTGAAAAAAAAATTTTAAAAATAAAAAAACTGATAATATTCTCAGTTGTAAAACTGAAAAGATTTGATAATGTTTTTGATTTTATTAAATAGTTAAATCAAATCAACAAATAGATGGACAAAAACGTTTAATCTCATATTTTGTTTTTTTTTTTTATTAGTTAGTGAAACAATTATTTAGAATATTAGTATGCAAATGTTTTTAGTTTTAAAAATTAAAAAGTTGATGATATCAATTTTACTAAATAGGACTTATTGACTTAAATTTTTTTAGATAAAACTTCAACTATCATAACATTTGTAAATAAGATTTTTAGATGATTAACTCTCAATTTTAGAGTTTAATTAAGTGGATAGAGAACGAATTAATATAGATTTGTATGATTTTAACGGATTAGAAGATATTTTACAACTAAAAAAATTTATATATTTCAATTCTTTTACTAAGGGGTTGTTTGGGGTGTCCTAAATAAGTGCACTTTTTGACTTTTTATGAAATATGAGTTAGATATGGGTTGGGTTTGAAGTAACTTTTTATGAAATATGAGTTAGGTATGGGTTGGGTTTGAAGTGATGTGATAGAGAGGTGATGTGATTTAAATAAGATAATGTGACTTAAATAAGATAGTGATTTTTTGACTTTTTAAATTTTTTTAAAGATGCCAAACTTGGCTTAAATGAATGACTGAATATCGTATAGGTATTGACCTTACACTTTTAAGAACTCAACACCTTTTGATAAATTACAATTTGTACCCGCCTCCACTCTCCCCACCCACGACGCTAGTCTCTCTCTCTCTCTCTCTCTCTCTCTTCAAAATCAATCGATCTATTCATTGTGTGGAGCACACTGTGGCGATCGATCGATAGCTTCTCTCTCCATTGCTTCAAGTAAGTAGTAAATTCATGTATTTGGTTAGAAACTCTCTTTTATCTTGCTGATATATACGGATAAAGGTAATGTACTAGACGAAAAGCAGTTTATCTTTTGGAAATGAGATAGAAATGTTTGATAGTTGAGTTGTTTAGGGTCCTGCACTTAAATTCAGCGAAATTATTAGGTTAGTATTATTAGCTCAATTTCAAGTGTTGGTATGAAATGTGTTTGTGGTAGAGTAACATTAAGGTGGTAAAGACGTTTGACAATGATAAAGCTGTTGTTCCTCTTTTGCTAATGGTATGAATTTGTGAACCAATTTCTCAGGACTTGGAAAGGTACCCTCTATGTCCCATTAAGTGTAGCTACCAATAGTTCTAATAGTCGGACTTTATTATTAAAAATAAAGTCCTACTAAAATTGTCATTAAAAATAATTTTTTGTGATGATATTTTTTGCATGTTACTAAAAATTGAAAATTAGCGGCATTTTTTGTCATGTTTTTTATAAATTGTGGGTAAAACTTACAATTAGTGACATTTTCCTATGAAGAATTTTTTAAATTGTAGTTGAAAGTTGAAAATACGTGACTTTTTGTGACGATTTTTTTAAACTGTTTCTAAAATTTATAATTAGTGACATTTTTTGTGACAAAATTATCAAATTGTCGTTGCAAATTAACAATTAGTGACGATTTTTTTAATAGTGTTTGATGAAAATTTTCATTAATTATCATAGGATCTATTGATCAATAAATCCATTTATTAGGACCTAGATGAAGTCTCCCTCAAATTAAATTCTCATTTCGGAAATGGTAATTTGCACCTCACAGGTACCTCCATTGAAGTTTCTATGTGTATAAATTGTTGGGAAAAAGAGTTATATATTTTTTGGTTTGATGAGTAAAGGAGTCGTGTAATTCTTCTTAGCCTACGAACAAATATCTTTTTTTTTTCTTCTTTGATAACTCGGCATAACAAATGTCTTTTAACCATGAGAATAGATTTTTATTTCTTGTTAGTCATGCCTTACTTGCATTTCCGTTTGGCCAAATTTATGGCATTAATTATTACTATTCATTTTCTTTTCGTTGTTTGTTAGATTATCTTCATCTCCTCAATTCCCAACTTTGTTGAGTGGAAGCATAGCATATGTTCTAAGGCAAAAGATAAGAAAGATAAGTGGTTGGTGATTGAACAATATGCTAAGATTAGAACAATTAACCCTATGCTTTATCTGACAGAAGAGATTAAAGAATATATAGCAAAAAAGAAAGTGAAGACCAAATTAAGATGTTTTCAGATTTTGATGAAATGGATAATGATTTTGAAGAGGATGTGGTTGAGTTCAATCGCTGTGGTAAATCCTTGGGAAGCAGTCAAGGTTCTGCTTCCATTGGATCCAAACCAAAAAAGCAGAAGACAAATGGGCGGCCTATAGATGTTTTCTTCACACCCAATCCAGATGTCGTGGTACAAACTTGCAAATCCCAAGGGAAAAGAAAAGAAACAAAAACTGATGGCAATGACCTGCAAAAGGAAGAATTAAGAGAGGAAGCATTGATAAGATTCACAAGGTGGATGTATGATGCCGGTATGTCTTTTAATGCAATGAACTATGATAACTTTGGACCAACGATTGAAGCTATTGAGCAATATGGTCATGGTATGAAACCACCAAGTTACCATGAGGTGCGAGTTCCTTAAATTAGAAAAGAGTTGCATTATACTAATGAATTGATGAAGTGTCACAAAGAGGATTGGGTGAAATATGGATGTTGTATAGTGGTTGATGGGTGGATTGACAAGAGGAACCATGTTTGTTGAGTCCGTTGATGCCTCTAGCTATTCAAAGGATGGACAAAAAATGTTTTTATATTTTTTGTCAAGGTTATGGAGCTTGTAGGAGAAGCTAATGTGGTCCAAGTTGTTACAGATACTGCTGCATCTAATGTGTTGGCTGGTAAGAATATTTTCCCGTGATTTCTAAAAAAAATGTTATTAGTACTTAGCACTCATTGTGGAAAAAGTAATATTTTGTAGGATAATATTAAAAATTTGTTATCAAACAAATATTAAAATCGCTATTTGTTTTGGTTCCAACTTCTAATAGGAAAGCTTTTGGAGGCCAAGTGACGACACTTGTATTGGACACCGTGTGCCGCCCATTGCTTGGACTTGATATTGGGAGACATTTTCAAGATACCTCATCTCAAGATGACATTTGAAAAGGCCATCGCGGTACGCCGTTACATTTATAACCGCCCAACTTTGTTGAATATGATGAGGCGCTTTATGCAGCTAAAGAATTTGATTAAACTGCAAAAACTAGATTTGCCACTGCATTTCTCACCTTATTTAAGATTCATCAACAAAAGAACAACTTGAAGAAGATGTTCACTTCAGATGTATGGGCAACAAGCAAATGGGCAAAGGAGCAACAAGGTAAAAGAGTAGCACAAATTATGTTGATGCCTTAATTTTGGAATAGTGTTGTCCATGCCATTAAGGTCTTGAGTCCTCTTGTTCATATACTTAGATTGGTTGATACTGAGGAAAAGCTTTCCATGGGATATGTTTATGAGGCTATGGGCAAGGCTAAAGAAAGCGTTGCAAAATCATTTGGTGGGAATGAAGATAGATACAAGAACATCTTTGAAATCATTCAGTGAAGGTGGGATATCCATTTGCAGCATCCGTTGCATGCAGCTGTGCAATTTTTGAACCCAAAGTTCTTTTATTCGAACCCAAAGTTCTTTTATTCGAACCCAATGCTAAGCAAGATTATGAAGTCATGACAGGGGTGCATAATTACATATCAAAATTTGGTCGCAAGCACTGATATTCAAAATAAAATCACTCAAGAGATAACTATATATATGAAAGCTGAAAATCTCTTTGGTGTCTGTTGGATGTTTATGATTAGCCTATGAAGCATGGGAACTTCGACAAACATGTCGTTCTTGTACTAGGTACACAAAACACATCCAAATTTGTTCTACTTGTCATTCTTTTTTCTTCTCCTTTCTTTCAAGTTTGAACATTCTAGGACCAAAATCAACTTGGTGGGGGGAGCTTCAAAGACAATCAATATGGCATGCTTGACAATCTGAAACCAGTGGGCTTAATAGGGGTGGGGTGCCTTTGCCTTCGCACATATAGATGGTTATGTCAACATGTATGGATAATGTCATCAGCATGATCTAACATCATTTTTTTGAGATGCCTTACTTGCTTTAACACCGTGTAAAGTTTCCATTGGATACTTCCCTTTATGCTTCCAATCTTATGTACAGAATTCAAGTTTGGTTCTTTTAAGTATAAATGTTCATCCTAACTTCAGTATTAATAAATCAGAGAAATTACTCTTAATTTCATTTCAAACGAGTAATGTTCTGGTTTGTTCTCAATGCTTGGTTTTGTAAGACAAAAAGGCAGGCAACCATAGACCACAAATTTATTCTTGCATAAATTGCTTTTAATGCACATTATTTAGATCATAAGAGCCAGTGGAGTTACTAGATTATTAACATTATTACTTAAGAAACAAATTGATGTTGTTATGCATCTGAAATACATTGACTTGTAACAAATAAACAGAAACAGAAAATTGAAGCTTGGCATTCAACAGTAAAGCATGACTTCTATGCCTGTATGTTGGTGTCAACCAATAGCTATAAGGTCTACCAGTAATTTTTTTATATTTTATTTTGGGAGTCAAGTGGGTTGAAAAAATTGAACATGGATTGCAAAACATGCGAAATCCATATAACAATGGATTCCCTGGGATTGGAGCCTGGAATTAGTTGGATGGAGTAATCTTATAAATTGTCTGTTGAACTTTTGGGCAATTTACGTCCTTCTAAAAATAGTTCTCCTAGTTTTGCACCCTGCATGATGATGTGCTTCCTTTGGTTATCACGTTGTCACCAGTTAGGTTGCATATCCGATATTACCATCACAATCTAGTACCTCTTGATGCTTGGACACTCTGGTAGTTTTCCTAATATCTGCGATAGTGTTGTTATAACAAGAAGACTGGATCGTTCTTACTTAGTATCAAACAATAATTGAATTTGCTCAGTGATTTTGTTGAATACATGAGTCCCTGATTTCCTCTGGAATTTGCATGCTCATTCACTTATTATGATTGCTTATCCTGTAAAATGAAAATCAGAATCTGTGCTTGTCCAAGAAGTTCCAATGATTTGATACAGCTGCCTGATCTTCTGCATTTTCAGTAGCAAGTGAATAGCTTAAAACAGTTAGCCTCTCTTGAAAGAAATTGAGGAGCTAGGCGCTTGCATTTCAAGGAAAGACAATGATAGCTACCCGCATTCTATTATCTGCAACAATTTTGTTCTTCTTCTAAAGGTCTACTGGTTCAGTGGCTAATACTCTGCCTACTAACCTTAAAGTTGTGAGTTCTAAACTGAGGAAAGCTACTTTGTGCGGTGATGCCAAAGGTTAAGTATGTATTCAATTTACCCCTCCCAGACCCATCTAATGGGGAATTAAACTGAGCGTACTTTTTTTTTTCATCCCCCCCCTTTTCCCCCCCCCTTTTTTTTCTCTGAAATTTTACTTTTTCCTAGATGTCACTGACAGGTGTCACATATGTTGGAAAGAGATGATCATGGACCCTCGTGTATCCAATCTCACCCTTGCGATTGGTGTGAACCTTCCCATGCATTGATTGTTGTGTTGGACAGAATGTTTGATTGATTGTAGATGGATGAAGCACAGACCACTGCAATAGGTTGCTTCTGGTCTGAAATTGGCTAAATTATTTTCCACAAATCCTGAAAAGGGATATATACACATCAAAAACAGTTCATCCATGGAATTTTGAATCATTAGTACAAGATGAAAGCAGGGTAGAGGTGCTTTTAGAGTGCTGCGTGATTATTGATTATTACCTGGTTATTCAATGCCATAACATAGCCTCATCATATGTAATTTCACCAATCAAATCAAATTTGATTAGTGAAATTAAATTTTGATTCTGTACTCTCATTCACTGTTTTTACCATGCTTACTAGTCTTATTAAATGGAAAATTTAGAATGAAGTTATAAACAAACCCATGCTATATGCTTCAATAGTTAGACTGCCTGGCTGTCATGGAATAATAAATTCATATTATTGGGTGTAGCTATTATGGTAAGTGTTGAGATGGATGAATTTATGTCTTTGCAAGCAATTATATGGTTCTGCTTGTTAGTGGTTAAAAGTGGCTCCAATCAGAGATAAAATGAGAGAGTTGGCTAAGATGGTTAATTTGTTAGGAAATTATTTGGTTCAAGTGTTCTTGTATCAATTAGAAGGCTTGGAAGAAACGTGGCATTTCGGCCATTAGATGAGATATGATGGCCTTTTATTTAGAGAAAGATGGCCCAAGAACGAACAAAGTAGCAGAAAAGATTTGTAGCGCTACCACCAACAAATATTACCGCCTTTACAGAAGTGGTATCACTGCTTGCGACATGTCATAAAAGTTGGTGCATGTTGCTAGGTGTTGTGGTATTCCATAGTAGAAGCTGTGAACTTCTTGTAGTCTTTGTTTTAGTCTGATAGCATTTATGTGAGAGATGGGTACTTTTTCTTCATTGTATTGGTTTTATTGATGCTGACTTGGTGAGTTTAAATCCCATGATATCTTTATTTAACCAACCTAAACTCATCATATTCTCGTTGGATTTGTTGGAAATGGAGTGAAATATGTTGGGCCTTGCTTGAAACCCTTTTATCACTTGCAAGCTGTGAACTTCTTGTAGTCTTTGTTTTAGTCTGATAGCATTTATGTGAGAGATGGGTACTTTTTCTTCATTGTATTGGTTTTATTGATGCTGACTTGGTGAGTTTAAATCCCATGATATCTTTATTTAACCAACCTAAACTCATCATATTCTAGTTGGATTTGTTGGAAATGCAGTGAAATATGTTGGGCCTTGCTTGAAACCCTTTTATCACTTGCAGATATATATATATATATATTTTCTGGTATCTTATAGTTAGCTGATATTGCACTTTCGAAACAGATAAAGATAGATGACTGCCATCAAACATGGTTGCATCTTCAGAATGCTCCAACCATGACGAAGATAGCTGATTGAGATTTGGTTTTCCAGACGCGAAGGTTTTCTGGATGCAGAGGTATTCTGTAGAGAGAATACTTTCTCCGCTGCTTCAACACAGAGTGAAGCTTTGATATGATTGGAGGAATTAGGTTAGTGTACTATGAATTCTGCCAACTTTCATTAGCTTTACGCTGTGTTTGGTTGGAGATTTGAGGAGGGATTTAGAAAGCGAAAAGGAAAAAGTGTGTGAAATTAGGTGAAATATAGGTATATTTTATTCATATTTTATCTACCTTTTTCATTTTTCTTTCCAAATCTCTCCTCAAATCAAATTCCCTAACCAAACACAGCAGTAGTAAGATGTCTTAGGAAAAGACTGAAAATTGTATGCTTCCGAGTACAAACTGCCTAATCAAATGAAGATCTGTTAGGCCAAAAGTGAAAGTACAAAAACAAAATTATTTGCCAAAAATAAAACCCATTTCTAGCCAAACGGGGCTAGTCCATTTGGCTAGAAGATGCACATCTTACAGAGGGTAGTGACAAGACTCCACTTTCCAAACCACAATGTTCGATTTATCAAAAAACTAGAAAAGAAAACCCATTTATCTCTGTTTATTTCAATGGAAAACGTTATTTGGAAAACATGTTTTGCATTTAAGGAGCTAGGCCAAAAAAAGGCAAAAGAAAAGAAAAGAAAAGAAAAGAAAAGAAAGACAAAAAAAAAAAAAAAAAAAGGAAAAAGAAAAAAGGACAGGGGAAAGAACAAAAGAAAAAAGAAATATGGGAGGTGGGAGGTGGCAGAAAAATGTTAGGCCAAAATCTTCTTTTGAAATGACAGGCCATTTATTTCTCACAAAGAGGTCCATTGAATCAATTTAGTTGATGTCCACACCTTAGGAATAGAAATATTAGGTCATAGGTTTTTACCTAGGGCTAGGGGGCACATTCTGTTATGACAAAATGTTTTTCATAAATCAAGTTCTGTAGGCAAGAATAACCTTGGATATATACTGATGCCTTTAATGAATGCTCAATACAGGCATAGGGTCATCTGAACTGTATAATTCGTTCAATTCAAATCGATTCGTATATATATGGACGTTTTTGCAGATATAATGCGGATGGATATGATTTGAAATATAGTATTATGGGGGATTTGGTCATAGCCTCCTCACTATCTAATTTCTCTTTCAAAAGGACAAGAATTATGTAAGTATTTTCAAAATCCCCTGATATTTTAAAACTTGTTTCTTTTACTATATTACCCTCATATCTATCAGCTCTCCTATTAAGACATTTTTACTATGTATTTCAGAGTAAAATTTTACTCTGTATAAAAGTAAAATTTTACTCTGAAAAACAAGTAAACTGTAAGACTCTGAAGCTAAAAGTAAAATTTTACTCTACATCATTCTCTCTACATTTTCACTATGTATTTCAGAGTAAAATTTAGTAAAATTTTACCCTGTATGAAAGTAAAATTTTACACTCTGAAATTAAAAATAAAATTTTACTCTATATAAAAGTAAAATTTTACTCTGAAAAATAAGTAAACTGTAAGACTTTGAAGCTAAAAGTAAAATTTTACTCTGTATAAAAGTAAAATTTTACTCTGAAAAATAAGTAAACTGTAAGACTCTAAAGCTAAAAGTAAAATTTTACTCTGTATAAAAGTAAAATTTTACTCTGGTTCTGTCAAAATTTACTCTGTATAAAAGTAAAATTTACTCTGTATAAAAGTAAAATTTACTCTGTATAAAAGTAAAATTTTACTATGAATGAGAGTAAAATTTTACACTCTGAAACTAAAAGTAAAATTTTACTCTGAAAAACAAGTAAACTGTGAGACTCTGAAGCTAAAAGTAAAATTTTACTCTGAAAAACAAGTAAACTGTGAGACTCTGAAGCTAAAAGTAAAATTTTACTCTGAAAAACAAGTAAACTGTTCTTCTTCCATCTACATGACCTCTTCAGCGCGATTTGCAAGTTCTCCACAGCTCTGGCCATGGAGGAAGCTAGGATTAGAAGAGAGAGACGAGATAGAAGATGAATAGTTGAAGGAGAGTTGAAGGAGGAGAGTTGAGAAGATGCAGAGAGAGATCGTCGGAGCTTAGGAATGACACAGCTCCGGCCATGGAGGAAGCTAGGGTTAGAAGTGAGAGACGAGAGAGAAGATAAATTTTGTATCTGGATTGTGTATATGTGAGGGTATAATAGTGTGATAAAATATTTAAATAATAAATTTTGTCCTTTATGCAAAATTTTATAATTATGAGAGGGTTTAGAAAGTATAATTTTTTTCTTAGTCCTTCTAACAATGAAAGGAAGGTAAAGGGGGTTTATAGCCAAATTTCCTAGTATTATTGCGGATTGCGGGTGGTTTTACTCCGCACCCGCAAGAATCCGACGTGCACTTAGGTTTTTTTTTTTTTTTTTTTTTTTTTTTTTTTTTTTTTTTTTTTTTTTTTTTTTTTTTTTTTTTTTTTTTTTTTTTTTTATATTTTTTTTTTCTTTTTTTTTTTTTTTTTTTTTTCTTTTTTTGTTTTTTTTTTTTTTTTTTTTTTTTTTTTTTTTTTTTTTTTTTTTTTTATTATTTTTCTTTTTTTTTTTCTTTTTTATATTTTTTTTTTTTTTTTTTTTTTTTTTTTTTATTTATTTTTAACCTAGACCATTGATTCTATTCATCCTATTCTAGATATTTTTGAATTTTGAATGATTTTACTTCAATTGTGGTGTTGGGTAGTAAATGATTTTGATGTAAAACCCAAGTTGTGTGTAGGATTATTTTATTGGATAGATTAGTAATTAAATTAATTTATATGGGTCATTTATTAATATCAAAGAATTAGTTATGAGATGGCATTATATTTTCTATTACTTAGATGGGTAATTTTGTAACTTTGAGAAATTAGGTTAATAAGCCCACCTATTGTGGCTTTAAGTCTTGGGAAACAAACAAAATAGAGGCTGTGAATTGCTCCATAGGCGGCTAGGGTTTGAGAAGGTAAAAGAAAAATTAAAGAAAACAAAACAAAACCAAAGTGAAGAAGGTGGATTCATAGAGTGGTGATTTTTCTTTATTCATTACTTAAGGTAAGATTTATTTTATTGTATTCTTATCTATGATTTTGGTGTTAATATATCAATAGATGATTTTATGGGCATATATGATTAAATAGATATATTGATGTAGTCTATGTTGGGAGTCTCGATTTTGCTCAATTTTAGAGTGTATTTTGCATCCCGTTTGGGTGGTTCATATTTTGAGATTGATATGTGATGGGTTAAGTTTAATGGTGGTGTATTTGTGGGATACACGATTGACTACAAGCAATTACAAATTTTTACATGTATATAAACAACAATAGAATAATATGGCTTGAGAATTTCTGAAGCCGTGATGGCTTTGTTTTGATGCTAAAATCGTGGGAGTTCCTAATAGACTATTGGGATAATTTATTCTATTGTTGTTACAAGAAGAGATGGATGGATGCACATAATAATTTTTTAAGCGTTGTAATATTTTATTAGGTTTGTGAGATTGAGGTGGATCTTGGCAATTTGAGATTAGCATGAGAAATATTATTTTAGCTGTTTGAGGTAAGTAACCCTCTATCACTGTTGGTTCATTTTTTTTTATTCCTATCGAATCGTTTAAAATCATAAATATTTATTTATAGCCTTCATGTTCTCTTAAAATAAAATATGGGTCAAGTGTAAAACAACATCGAATATTATTATGAAAATTATTTGAATATTTGGTGAAACTATTCTGAAAATTGTATTAAACGTTTATTCTGAAAATATCGAATGTTTTATTTAAAAGTTGTGTATTGTTTGAATTTTGAACATCACTCTAGTCTGACTATGATTTGGACCCTAGCCAATGGGAGTTATTTATTAGCACAGAAACTAGTTTCTTTTGGGGCTTTACCACCGACCTATGTGTGGTTCTGGGCCTTGTCACGGGCTAAGTGACCGTAGTTATTAAGACTTGGGTTTTGTGAATCAAATCATTGAACCATTTGAATATCAAACCATCGATTTGAACAACGAATTACTTTGAATTATCTTGTTGGCTTTTCATTTAAAATGTATTGTACATTGTTTATTTTTAGCTATGAAACCACCTTACAAATAATTGTTCATTTATTGAACTATAGAAAAAAAATTATATTTATTGGTTATCGAAATTATATTTGATTTTTTACTACTTGGATATCACAGCTCAGCAGTGATGGGCTGCAGTTATTACCTAGGCTTATCTAGCTTACCTTTATTTTTTTTCAGATTCTGAAGAGTAGAGCTGCGCGGGATTTTTTACATGTGGGAGTGCCGAGAGTAGGACCATGATTTAAGTACTTGGATTATTGTTTTGTTAGTGGATTAAATTAGTGGACTTGGTGGACATTTTCATATAAGAACTATTTATTTTTATGGATTTTGGCATTATGACAATTAATGATTTAATTTGAGTATGTTATGTTGTGGGTTATGTGATTGGATTCTTAGCCTTGCATGCTCACTTATATGAGTGTGCGGCGTTGTCACGGAGCTTGGGGCATGACATTTGATGACTTAGTTTGAGATTTTGAAAGAAGTGTTTGTATTAGTTTATGATTTTATTTAAAAGTTTAGAATTTTGAATGATTTACTTGTGTTATGAATT